GGCAATGTTAAGTCATCCAATAAAATTTGTTTTTCAAATCTATACTAAGGCGAAATGTCAGTTATCTAGAATCTTCATTTCTAAAGGAAATACTTTGTAGTAATAATAGTAATGGTAACTAACACATGTCTTAAAATAAATCTTAGCAATCCTATGGGAAAATATTATTCCGTTCATCAGAGGAAGCTGCAATGCAGAGACTAAATAACTTGAACTATGTCATACAGCAAGTGTGTTTTCTTCACCACTATCCCTACCCCTCCTACCCATGAGGCAGAGAGGAGGAATGCAGGGAGAAAATAGGAAGGAAACTAGGAAAACAAGGAGATAAAGGAGGAGGTCAGGGGAGGCTGGAAATGACCTTCAGACAAGCAGGCAAAGAAAAACCATGAAATGCCCTGATGCCAGTCCTCCTTCTCCTAATTACTCATCAATCATACCATTCTCTCTCTTTAGTATTCAGAGTCCAAACACAACATTCTACCTACACCCCTCTATACCTCACAGTAATATGACTCTATCACATTTTAAAATATGTTTAAAAATATGAGTCTACCTTCCACAAAACCCATCACTGTCTGCCTGACTATAGGGCCATTCTGCTGCTTTTCAAGGTCGTCAGCAGAAACAGACCTGTGCGGGGAGCTAATTTATTGCAAGGGAAATATTCCAGCCATCTGCCATAAGCACTTAGATTTGGACAACAACATTTTGCAAAAGTGCTCTGACTCAAAGGCATTTGAGAGTTCATGCTGAGCAGATACTCAGGTAGGCAGAAGAAAGACAGAACTTGGACCCACCTAAGACCTTATCCTTAAAGCACGTGCCATTTCCAATCTTGTAGAACAATAATGGCTGTTTGCATTTTAAATTGCTATATAGGCTACAACATGTTTTCCTTTAAAGTGTGCCTTATTTGACCCTCCCACTGGATAATATCATTTTACAGGTAAAGAAACCAGCACAGAGATATTAAAGAGACAGGAAGAATAGGTATAAAGACTTAAAACTCAGGTGTGGTGACTAATAATATAGTTCTTTGCTCATAACCGCCTTCATAGGTATGGAGCTAATTCTGAAAACTCAAGTTTAAGATTAAATACTAAGTTGTTGTTTCTAAGCATATAAAACTGATAAGAAATACAGGCTGGGATTATCTATCATTATGAAGTAGGCATGATGAACTTCTTTTCTTTCTATTTAAAATTAAAAGCAAATCTAATATGTTATTTTCAGAATCTAGAAATAACTTAAAAAAATAAACTCCTTCCATGCTGACAAACCAAAGAAAATGAAATCTGTCTACAGCACACTAGTGCAAAACTAGTGGTAGTTAAATACCTACTTATAGACCAGATGCAATGAAACTCAAGAACTTTAGAGAACTAATTTGTGTTGATAACCTTAGTAGAAAACTATTTCAGAGTGTCCTGTCATATCCCCTTTATTTCAGTCTTTCATATATTCTGAAATGAAGAAATTCCATTATATAACTTAAGTGGAAATACTGCCAGTAACATATTTTTTGAGTCTGTACAGGACACTTCTTGGATTAGATTTGGCTGATAAAGGCCTAAAACAGAGCTCAGTCCCCAGAGGATGGCCAATTTCATTATTTTCTGAGATTTATTTTATCCTTGCCAGGCTTCTTGGGAAAACATGACATTTGTTGGAAGAGCTGGTTGGATCTGTTGGGAGGATGGGAGCATGAACACATGACCCCTATGGCGGGTGTGCCCAGGACCTACGCATTTGATTCACCTGAGAACTTGTTCAAAATGTCAATGTTCCCATCCCAAACATATTGGTTCAGAAAAACAGCAATCTGAAGTTTTAATCAGATCTCCAGATTTATTGTTGTAGGCAAAGTTTTGAGAATCTCTCCTAAGAAATTCTGAACTGATGATTGGAGAGTATCAACTTCAAGTAAAAGATATGACTTTAAATTAAAACAAGAGAATGAATATTTAGGGACTCCCTAAATTCATGTACTGTGATGGTATTAGGAGGTGGTACCTTTGGTAGGCTGAAGACCTCATGAATGGAATTAGTGCCTTGTGAACGAAACCCAGGAGAGCTCCGTTATCCCTTTCAACATATGAGATCTTCCCCCACAAAAGATTGCTGTTTACAAACCAAGAAGCAGGTCCTCCCGGACATTGAATCTGCAGCACCTCAATCTTGCCCTTCCCAGCCTCCAGAACTACAAGAAATATATACAGGCTGTTTAAGCTATCCAGTTTCTCATAGTTTGTTATAATAGCCCCTAAACATTAATACATGAGGATAATGCAATATTTTTTTTTGAAAATATGATTCCTTACCACATGCCCACATATCCACTGGTTTTCCATAAGGATCTTTACGTAAAACTTCTGGAGAAAGATATCCAGGTGTGCCAGCAAAACCTAGAGAAAATAGATGTTTATTATTTGGTATTAACATGACAAAATCAATATGACATAGGAAACTAAGAAAACTTTTTAGTGGCTTTATCAGATGATATGTTTGTCATTTGAAGCAAAACTTCCAGAGTCCTGAAGTAATGTAGACTAGTTTAGTTTTCTTTTCTTTCTTTTTTTTTTTTTTGGTGGGGAGGTCGGGATGGTGGTACCAGGGATTGAATCCAGAGGCACTTAATCACTGAAGCACAACCCTGGCCCATTTTTATACTTTATTTAGAGACAGAATTTTGCTAAGTTGCTGAGGCTGGCTTTGAATTCCTGTCTCAGCCTCCTGAGCTGTGGGATTACAGGTGAGTGCCAGTGCACCAGGCTAGTTTTTCTTTATACTAAGTAATCAACACTAGTCTATCCTGCCCTGTAGTTTATTTGGAGGAAAACACACACACACACACACACATCTTTTATCCAGATGTGGAAATCTATCCATTGTGTTGCACAATCTTGTATACTTGAGGCCACTTTTTGGTTAGTAGTTCTTGTATCACTTATATGGGAGTTATAAATCTGTAAAGAAATAAGGAGAAAACTGGAGATAGGATAAGGACCCTGGAAATGATGATAGTTATCATAACATCTAACTAATGGTATTATGAGAAGAAAGCACCTATTAAATAGAAGGATATAAAACACAGAAACTAAGGATACAAAAATCTATTGGGTGGATGTAGGGCAATGAGGCTAGAGATGGGACTAAAAGTAACTAAAGAATATATCAGGAAAAGAAATAAATCTAAAATATATCCAAGAGCTCAATATATACTAATAAAATATCAGGGTGTATTTGTAACTAGCAACTGAAAAGAAGACTCAGGAACATTCAAATGTATCACTATTGACTGTGTACCAACTAGACTTTAAAGTTAAGAAGATCTGATAATAGAGATTAGATAGCAAATATGAATCAGTGTAGAATTCAATAATGTGCACTAACATAACAACAAATCTATAGCTAATTTTAAAGTAGAGTAAAATATTTCTTATTTCTGGAAATAATAGTTTTTCAAATAAAAGTTATCTTAAAATCATTAAATATAATTATTTTCATTTAAAAGTTTTCTCAAAAAACACTAATGAAAACTGAAAATATCTTTTTAAAAGGATATACAATCAGGAATTCCTTCAAATACAGATTACTGTTGAAGTACACTGTATATTTATTGGATTGCAAAGTACCCTTATTTATGTGAAAAATTCAGAAAGCAAAGAGGTATAAAAAAAAGAACACATATAACACAATTACTTCTCTGAGAAAAATAAGATTAGGAAATGACGAAAAGGATTTTTGGACTATTCCCTTTCCCCATTTTAAAATTCCCATTACTTTTCTCTTCCTTTGTTTGGAGGAAGATGAGAAGATGTGGTGGATAATGAGAAGGGACTCCCAGACAAGAGCTTTGAATAAACCATTGCTAATCCACTGAGGGTTCTTCTACCTAAGAGAATTACCAAAGTTTCCACTGCTTTGAGAATTACCTGAAGGTGTCATGTGGAGTCACACGACAAGATAGGAATGGGCACAATTATTGCAAAGGACTTCCTAACACTTGTGATATACCATACCTGCCCTCCCCATTCCTGTCCCACCTCCTTGAGAAATGCATGACACAAAGAGAATCCAATGAGAAATTCATGCCAAAGTCCAGTGTGAATTCAATATCCTGAGTGCACACTTTGAGATCCCTTTTCATCTGGCTCCCCTCACTCATCCAACATGATTTATACTTTTTCTGAGCACATGACTTGATTGATCCCTTTAAGGTCTCTTGAGAATGAGCTTCTTAATCTCATTCTTGATGATACTTCTATTTCTTGAATTCCAATTTTTTTTCCTCTAACATAGAGTGGATCTAAATTATTTCTATCTTAGAACTCTCTTTAGATGCCTACAGTTCTCAGTGATCCTTTCTCATTTTGAATTTCAGCTACACTTTAATATATAATCTATACTATCTAAAATTAGTAAACTTCAGTGTATGTTTTACGTAATTTATATGGCCAAGAGCAGGAAACATTAATGATATTCTCCCTAGAGAAGATAAGAAGTAACTACATGTGAGTATATTCCACTATCTTTCCTATTCCCATGTCCCCTTCCCACCCTTCATTCCCCTTTGTCTAATCCAATGAACTTCTATTCCTCCTCCTTACATTGTGTGTTAGTATCCACATATCAAAAAGAACATTTGGCCTTTGGTTTTTTGGGATTGACTTATTTCACTTTGCATGATAGTCTCTAGTTCTATCCATTTACCAGTAAATGCCATAATTTCATTCTTCGATAAAGCTGTCTTTAATGAGAGATTAAACCCTTAAGAATCCAGGATTATTATGATACATGCTATTAATAGGGAAATTAATCAGAGATTGTATTCTCTAGGGATAGCATACTTTTTTTTTTATTCAGAAAAACCAAGAAGATATCAAAACATATAAAGCAAAGAGAAAACAGAATTACTCACTGTTGAAAATGTATCCATTGTAACCTATTGCCATTTAAAAACAATAACCTTAACATTTAAAACAAGATATATAATAGCAAGAAGCAAGATGGCAGTAAAATATCCTGGTTTTTGCTTTTCATTTCTTTCTAGCAGCAGTCAAATGTTAGAAATATATTGCAAATATTATTTCTAGTTCTATAGGAGAAACAGGCTGTATTAGCTAATTCTCTTTGATAAAACTTCTGCCATCTTATTAAAGGTAGTGACATAGGGTGTTCTAGCATTTTTGGCTAATTAGAGTTTTTTCAGATAAACTTATATGAAAGCCTGAAGAACTGACCTAACACATAACAAAGAGACTTGCTATTTTTTTAAATTAAAATAACAAGTTTTTTTCCCTCCTTTAAATATGAATATTATATTTTAAAAGATAGAATTAATCAAAATTGAGACCATGATGGCAGATAATGAATAGCTATGAAAACAAGTAATGCTTATTAAAACATCTCCATTCCCTATATATCTATCTATAGTATATTCAAAAGAACTTTAGTATATACCATGTGCTTTTTTTTAGTTACTATGAGGATTTACTTGAACTTGGGAAGAGTGGGAGGGAAGGAGATAAAGGAAAGAAATGCATATTTTCTTAAACTTGGAAACAAAGTTTCTACACTTCTAAAATGTGAAATCTCCTTGAAACTTAAGATGCATCTATTTAAAAAGTCTTTACAGGTACATTAATAAGATCTTAACTATTGAAAGCACATCCTGATGAAAAAGTGAGAATTTTCCTGTTGATCCATTGCTGTTTCTCTGTGACCAGCTTGCTTTTAGAAATGAGCTGTCACAATTTGAAAATCCATGTACTTTTATTTGGATGCTACTGCATTTGCTTAACTGATACCCAGTTTTTTGTTCACTGTTTCACTAAACAACTGCCACTGAATAGGCAAAAGCACTATGACAATGTTCCATACCAAGATTATTTTGAAAACGGACTGAACATAATTTATTGCCTATCTGCATTCCCCTGGACTACTTTACTGGTTTCCTAACAGCACCATGAAGGAGTGTTCATGATAGCCGTTTAGAAACAGGATAATGGCCCAAGATAATTAAGTGACTTAAACAATGTCATTCAGCTATCAAGAACCAGAGCTGGGATGTAAGTTCAGGTATTCTGATTCAAAAAGTAGATCCCCCACCTCCCCAAGTCCTCTTAAACTACATGTGATCTATCAGAGGACACAAAACACAGAGATTTAGGGAACACAATTCCTACACTCTTGTCATCAAGCCAGCATTGCTGGGGTTCATGTTGTGCCTCAGCGCTGATGATAACAAAGGCCTCTGTGTTATTCCTGGTATCCAATCATCATCACCCTGCACCCAGTCCCAGTGATTATATCCCCGGGCCTAAGTTCCTATTTTGGTATCTTGCCTCATACAAGTCTCTCATGAAATGGGCTCCTCTTTTGCTCTAGACAGGATTAGAATCCTGTCTTTGAACCCAATATCTGGGATTTTCATTTCTTCTAAACAGATTCTCCTAAAGTTCAGAGTCCCTGTCTGTACCAGGGAATTTGCCTGGTCCTATATCCACCCTAGTTCAAACTGCAGCATGCATAATTTGAATGACTGCTTTAGCCTAATAAAGTCTTTGCTTTCAGATTAACTATCCTTAACCATCCTCCACATTGCTACCTAAATCACTCTTATATAACTTAAATTCAATTACATTCTTCTTTATTAAAAATTTCTCACCAGATCCCTGAAGCCTCTAAGTTTTTTTAAAAAATCAAACCTTTGAAAGGGACCTCCCCCCACAAAAAAAAAAAAAAAATCACTCACGTTATTATAAACTACCCCTCATCCTAGCTGAATCAAACTTCTTTTTATCAATGTAACAGAAAAATAGTTTCATGTCCTCCAAGCATTTGCATATGCTGGTCCCCCATCTGTAATGCCTTTATCTCCCATGCTTCAATGGACAAATTTCCCATTTATCTTGGACAGAATCATAGTTGTTAGCCCAATTATTAGTGCTTTCCCTAGAGGTGGAATTTCATACTTCCTCACCTGTGTTCCCAGGGCACCTCTTGGATGCTTGTGGTGAGTTACTTTTTCCCTGCGTGGTAAATTATTATTGGCACAAAAGTCTCATCTCCTTGAGGGTCAGGGCCTTTTATTTAAGTACCTCTAGTAATTTTTCCTTGCCCATCTCTGTGATAGCTCACTACTTCCTGTTGAACCCCTAACTCTTATTACTGTATATTCCTTATCTATGTCGACCATACTTTTCCCCAGAATATAGCTATATATCTGCATTTCCAATTTCCAGAATTAAATCTAGGTCTTGCCTTCTTTCAGTTTGCAGTTAACAAGGATAAGCTTATTCCAATGTCAAAACGTGACAGACCAAATGACAAGGCTGAAGGTTTTAAATCCACTGGGAGCGGAATTGTGGTATGGAGACACTTGTAAAAGGTGGCATTAAGCTTGGGAGAGATTGCCATCAGGATAACAGTAAGAACTCCTGACAAAGGACAAGCAGCAGAAAATAAGGTCTTGAATTAGGTTCCTGGAAAAGGAGATGTGGGAAGGCTGCCAGGTCACCTACTTCCATTAACTAGCTGGGGCAGATTAGAAAGATACAGGGGATCCTGGGAGCTATGTATACCTTAGGAGATGCTGCATGATAGGGATACAGAGAAGCATTTGTACATTAAAGAAGTAAGTATTTGGGGGGCCCTCTTTCTGTTTGATGTTATTGTTATTCAGAGGAAAAAAATCTGAAGTAAAGGCATTAAAAAATTGTCTAACTTTAACACATTAAAAATCAAAAAGAAATAAAACTGAGGCTTAGGGAAAGGTTATATTTTAAAATTCTACATGAACTATCATGTAATACTGGGAAATGGTAGAGAGAGGCATAAGAAAATCAATGGATAAAGAATTTATTCCAGCTGAATATTGGGATAATCCATAAGCTTGGCTAGAAATACTATAATTTAAATTTATTTAGAGTTGATGTCTTCCCTAATTGTAAATGCTGGAGCTTAGGATATAGTATCCCTGGCATGCTGAGCACTTTGAAATGAAGGAAAGGGGCTCAAAAGTAAGATCTTCCTGCCCTTTGTCCTTCTGTTTTCTTCCTCCAAGTTTAGCCATGGAAACTACACTTCTTCTTGCCAAAGGTAGGTTACAAATACGTGAACCCCTTTTCAGCCAGCCATAAAAACTAGAAATAATACTCCAAGCTTCCTCTAACCTTCGATGTGAGAGTTGGCAACAAGGAAATCCTCTGACCTATGTTGTCTGGTAGCTGATCACAAGACCCTCATTCCAGCAGGTCCTGCCCTGCCCTGTACCCAGGAAGGCACAGAGAAGCCAAGAAGAATTCAGAAAGACAGGCCATGGTGGGTTCCCCTCTGAACATATTACCACCAGGTCACGTCTTCTTTGGATATGTCATTTCTACATATCTGTATTTTTTTTAAAATCAAACCTAGCATAAAAATAGAATGTTTTCTCCAAGTCTTTAGGTCTTTATTTCATATCATGTAAAACTTTGATTAAATAATCTGTTATGTTTTCTCTTAGAGGAGTGCTGGTTATGATTCTTAAGATGTCTGAGGAAAGGTTTCAGAGCTTTCTACCTCTACATAGAAACAGAATTTTCACCATTTAGAAATTTTTAAATTATCAGATTTATCATGAGAAAATTGGCATATTAACAAAATAGAAGACAATTGAGATGAAATACTTAGTAAATACACATATAATTATAGGATGTAATATTTTAAAGTGAATTCCCTAATAAAATACATGAGATAGTTTGTCTTTTCTGACTACCTACTATTTACATAGCAGTCTTTAGCATCATGTGAGGATGAATGTGAATGATCATCTTTCTTTCAGAAAAAGTATTCTTTTAAATTATAACACTCCTATTAATTCTTAGCACAGGATTGTATTTTCTCTCCGTCCTTTGAAGAAAAAGGTATATGTGTTACTGTTCTCTCTTCAGTATTTTTCCTTAACTATTTCTAGGTTACATACCTTTTAATGTTAGGTTTAATATCTTGTGGTCCAATATCTTAAGAGTAGTCAAGATGAACATTTCCACTTTATTTTGGCTAGGAAATGGGAGTAGGAGCCAGGAGTTCGTATCCAAAAGATTGTAGGTAGCATGAAGGAGAGAGGCCCTACTTACCAAACCATGCCTGCTGGTCTCCTTGAACTTCAATGGCTAAGCCAAAGTCTGCCAGTTTCACAGCTGCTCCCTTGGATTTGCTAGCTAAAAGCAAATTCTCAGGCTTTATTTATAAGGAAAAAAAAAGAGAGAGAGAGAGAGAGAAAGAGACTGAAGTGAGAACCTATTTTAAGTGACTATACAAAACTAACAACATTTTCACTAGATAAGGGGAGAAAAAAAAAAAAGTCATGCATTGTCATCTCTCCTGGAGACTGTCATTCCTAAATCCCAGGGAAAACATGGTTAGAAAATGATTAAAAATAATCATGTGTGCAGGCTTTAGACAGATGCATAAATGTTTTGTAGAGTACTGTACAAAGGGGAGAGATCAAATAAATGAGAACACCTGTCTTGACCTGCTCACATGTTTCCAAGGACCAGTTGCAGACTTGGCCACAGACATTGACTTAGAAGCCTAACAGAGCACAGACATTTTCAGCAGAAGGAAACTTGGCAAAATGATAACAAGAATTGGACCAATCTACAGACATTTGGCAAATGAAATTGTGCAAATTAAATCCTAGTTGACTTTAAGAGTTTGGACCCAAATGTAGTGATTTTGATTCCTCAATGTTTCCAAACAATTTCTGTACAAATTTTGGAGCTTAACTCTGAATTACGTATTAAAAAAAAAAAATGCTGTCTTTAAGAATCTGTTTATTCTTAAAGGCAGAAAGAATATACTGCTATTTGCCAAATGTTATAGTTAGCTTTTTATTCTTTATAAGCCAGTTTTTTAAAACAGAATTTACATTTCTTCAAAGTGTGACTCAAAACATTGCTTATATATGTATACTCCCATCTCAAAATATGGTGGGAAAGATCCATTTTATTTTCTGGGTAATTTATCATTACTCCAGGACTAATAACTCAAGTCTTGGAAGGAGGCTGTGTCTACACCATTGTTTCCCAATCAGCACATCCAGACACATTGGTACTTTCAAAATAAGCACCATGACAACATCTTCCATTTCCCTGGAACCCCTTTGTAAATTTTAAGAAATGAAGGGATTAGATGGCTAGGAAAAGGAGGCTAGTTAATATATATAGCAAAGTCTATGCAGTCCAGTTATCTGGGTGAACATATGCTACTGATATACATATGGGAAAGTGAATCAAAGTCTTCCTACTTGGCAATAAGAACCAGCAAATTTGGAATCTGCGTCTCAGACTGAAAAATATTGGGAAACAATGGACACTACAAGTGCCAAAACTATTGTTTGAAAATCTAAAAATTTAGTCCATCAAGCTGATTTTGTTTATATGTTGACAAATAAGCAATTCCAGATTTTTTTTCACCAAATTGGCTACTTTCTTCTTACTGAATTAGTCAGTTCTGTTAGTTGTTTTGACCTTGTGTAAACACAGCCCAAATAATTGTTTAATTTATTAATTAAGCCAGCCATGCAAAATAGCAAAAAAACCCATAACCAGAACTTGGAAGAAATTAGGTTAAATCTATAAGAAATTGAAGTGTGGGAAAATAAGTTTTAATTGAGTTACCAGAATTAAGGCTATTGCTGCTCACTGCCATCAGATTCATCACTATCATGATAATTTGTAAATATGAGGAAACCTTTGTAACTTTTTAGGGCTGATAGGATTTTGAACTACCTTAACACTATGTAAATAATTTAGTTTAGATTTTAGGATAAGGATGTCTTCAACCTAACATTTGAAATGATTTGGAACTCTGGTTATTTATCAATATACTGAAGTATGTATTCTTGTTAAAATAGTCACATCTGACATTTTGCTTTCACAACTAAAATTTCTGGTCCACTACATTCATACATTTTCTAATTTAATTAAGATACAATATTCAACTTTAAATTTATGGAATAAGTAACCTAGACAAACCCCATCAATGGTAAGCAATGATCGAGTCTATCTCATTTTTGACCTTCACATTCAAAAGCATTGAGCTGTCAGAGATGGTTGCTAACACATATCTGACCCTAATTTGTCAAGCACAGACTCATTCAAGGGAAGAGTTCCAATCACTTAAGAAATTACAGCCATTGTAGAACTTTTTAGTCAAATGGTTTTGAAGCTTGTTGAGCAAATGCCAATAACATTAGTAAATAAACTTTTTAAGAAATTTAATATGTTTTTACTCTTACTACTAAATCAGAAAGCTTCTGGACAGTGCTGTGTGCACTGTGCCTTCAAATACCAACTCTCTGCCAATTCAGAAGAAATGGAACTCCTTGAGTTTTATCATGAAGGACCACTGAATGACTGGGAAAAATATCCATAATTAGAGATACCTAGAATACTTGACTGTGGGGTCATCCAGGAAAATAATAAATCCATCTGGATCGATATTTCATCCTATACCCATGAAGACTGTTCAGCTGCAGTTATGGATAGGAAAAGGCAGGGCTATTTCAAAGGGATTGTATATGTATTTAAAAATCAGTATTGACTAGCTTCACATTTATGTATATCTTCTAGGCAAACCTAAAATACAGAATTGTGGATTGTAAGCTGAAAAAATTACAAGGATTATTGAATTAATTAAAGGATTATTTGCTTTTGAATATTTTAATCAGAACATTGCTTTAAATAGCCAGTTTCAGTGAAATGCTGAAAATATCACATAACTTCAGGCCTGACTCAGCAACTTAGAGAGACCCCCCCCACCATCTCAAAATTAAAAATAAAATGAAAAAGGGGTAGGTAGTTCAGTGGTAAAGCACCACTGGGTTCAATCCCCAGTACCACCAAAAAAGTAAAAGAATAAAAGGAAATTATACAAATTTGGTTTCTAAATAACTCTTTGTATATAATGTGTTTGAATATTCCTGTTATTGTGTTCTGTGAGGGTGTGGAATTTCTAAAGAACATTTGAAGTAGGACAGGTACATTTACTCTGACTTTTTTGAATCACTACCACTTATGTACCCTCCTTGAAAATATATTGTATGACAAAAAGTTCATTGCCAAGTAGGTTAGTTCAAATTCTGAATGCCTACAAAAAGGAAAATAATTGATGGTTATATTTCACCAAGTGGGTAAGAGTAGACTCTCTCAGCTAATAAGTGGCTGCCTCCTTAGAAAGGATGTTTATTTGCTACTATGCTACTATTTTTATCTTCTATAATGAATGAGACAGGTGAGATTAGAAAGCAAGTTCTTTCAGTGAATGAGAGTTTTCCATGGGGCACAGTAAGATGACAGAAATGGGGAGCATGATAACTAAAAAGAAATGTGAAAAGTCTGGGCTCATGTGCTGGTCCTAATTGACAGACTCTTGGAGCTAGCTAACTAGCTCCTTTATATCTTAAATAAATATTATAAAGCTACTAAATTATGCCTCATAAGTGTCTATGGAATGATGAATCTGTGGTTTTATATCACAGGACCTTTGTCCTCTGTAGGGATACCATACACATTAGTGATTAGCTATGATGGTCCAGGGCAGCTGGCCATTTCAATTGTAGGACATTTAATATTTAATGAATCTATTATATTAGTCTTTATTTATTGAGATTAGCTCTAAATTCTTACAATTCGATTACTTTTGGGTTGTTTTTTTAAAATAGATTCTATTGACATTCTCACACATAGGTTCCTTCCCCACCCCATTGCTTCCTAATGATGCAGGATTTTCCATGACATCTGGTCTCAATGTCAACAACCATTTATAGCATATCAGCTGTAATGAGCAGCAACTGTTTGTAAGTTTTGTTCTGTATTTCCATATGAATACAATGACAACTTTTCTTCAATATGATCCAAGATTTTCTTGAATATTTTCAAATATATCAAAGTACCCAGGCAAGTTGTGAAATCACTGTTAGAACTGGAAGGGACTTGTTAGAACTGGAAGCAACTCAGAGAGACCCCCATCTCAAAGTTAACAATAAAATCAAATAACTCAATCTACTGAGGTTCTAAAGAGATAAAGCCAGGACTGACAGCCATAGTACCAATTTCTTTCCTTCTGAAGATGAGATAGAAAACCTTTCTGATGTTTTAAAAATGTTTTGTTCTCAAGAGGTGGTTCACTTGATATATATATTTAGAAGAGTTTGAAGTATTAAAAAATATGTACACTGATCATCAAATAAAATTAGTGGAAAACTTATGAAAACCACATAGTTTTAATCTTGCTTCTCCCATAGTTTGTTAAGGAAATTATTTGTCGAGGTAATGGTCATCTTCAGTACTAGTAGGATCAAAGATTTATCTGGGCACATATATGATAACCATCCTCAATAAGACTTAACCATTGGGAATCTATGTGTGGAATCACATGTATTTTACTTCTTTCTTTTTTTAGTGTTATAAATATAATAAACAATTACTTTTATTATACATATTATTTCATTCTTATGTTCCCTTGGATATTATTCTTAAGGACTAAAGACTGTCTTTTAGAGTTTCTTTCCTCTAATGGAAAAATCTAAATATTTCAACAAGAAGTTCACCATTTTCTTCTTTGGTATGTTTTCAGGCACTTTTTTTCTGTGCTAGAGAAGGTGTGAACAATGCTCCCAGAAATAAACAAAATGAAAATCTGTATGAATTGAAAAGCTAGAGTGTCAAGCTTGCTTATTTCATCTTGCACATAGTACAAGTGATTTGAGCTTTCATCTTTATATGTAATGAATGCTTGAGTTCTTGTCCTTAGCATAGGGAGTTTCTAGCTGAGTTTTTGATCAGGAAGCGTTTTATTGTCATGAGATGTGAGCAGGTTCACAAGAATCACTTGGTGTTTCACTCTTGTTTCTTTCTTTCTTTATTTATTTTTTGGTACCAGAAATTGAACCCAGGGGTACTCAAACACTAAGCTACATCCCCAGCCATTTTATTTTATTTTATTTTATTTGAGATAGATTCTCGCTAAATTACCTAGGGTCTTGCTAAGTTGCTGAGGCTGGCTTTGAACTTGCAGTCCTCCTTGCCTTAGCCTCCTGAGTCCCTGGGATTACAGGTGTGCATCCCTGCACTCCTTAGCTTCTTAATTGACTTTTAAACAATGGGCATGCATTGTTCTTGCAGCAGAGTAGACTTAAACAACCAGAGTGTAACTTCAGTGTGACTGTGCCAACT